AGAACTGATTAACTGATTAAGAATTAAACATTGTAGGTATATGTACCTGAAGACAGATGAAACTTTGCTACATATTTTTTTTTATATTTTATGTTTTCTTCAACAACTAAAATTAATACAGTAAAAATCAATCAATACTGTACATGAACGATTTTCGTGTTTATTAGCGTGTCTAATGGAAGCCACTTGCGATTAAACCGTTTATAAATAAACGAATCTAAATATAGTCCGGTAACAACAAACAAAAGTTATCTTTCCAAACAAACAGAAAAATGCAAAACTATTATTTTAAGAAATTTTAGAAGTGTTAAATACTTACAGAAAACGCAAAATTAAAAATCATTAGCAAGGTCCTCATACAGGCCATTACGGCAACAGAAAAAGACCCCATATTTCAAAAAACACTGCAATAACAAAACTTTACGAAAAATAAAAATATACACAATTATGCTAATGAGACGAAAACAAACGAACAATTACCAAAACGTTGCAGAATTCTTTACAATTTATAATTCTACGTTGATAACCTTACGCGAACGATTAAAAAAATCGTCAACCCGACCACTGCACACAAGTCTGACGACCGACCGATCAAAACACATAAGCATGCGCTTGTACAAACTGCGAGGATGAAATATTTTTGTTCGTCTTTCTCTGTTCTATACAACGATGGTTTTTGTTGTATAGGGTCACGTTATCATGTTATCAGGTAAATGTTAAATACACAACCTGTTATGAGAAAAACAATGGGAAATTTCTATTTACATATTTTCATTACAATCGCTTATTGAAGTTCGACATCGTATTCCAGAAATTATTAATGAGAAATGACGATTACGTCAGCGACATAGTCCATACGAACCAAGGGAAAAAGTAATAGCAACAAGCAAGAACACATTCATCTTATACATAAGTTACACCCTAGAATTATAAATTAAGTACACACATAGTTTTAAGCAAATGTGCCTGTTATAAAAAAAAGGGTAAATATCTAGATGATGGCCCTCACCCCCGTCGGAGATGGGGGTGGGTGGGATCGAAAGAGGAGATCTCCCCCATCACTGTACATAAAAAGTTCATGGCGGTTTCACCACCATAAAAAGTTATGAGGGTTAGATGATGGTAGGGGGGGGTCGAAAGAGGGTGGTCACCTGAGTAAAACCCNAAGTATGAAAAATCCATACTAAAAACGAATTACAATCAGGCAAATTAAACAAATGACTAATAACAAATAAGTATCTCAAAAGAAGCCGGCCGTTATTGACAACGAATTTACCAAAATTAATAATTCAAAACATTGTTTTAATAACATTATTAAGAGACTGCATGTGTACTAATTATTCAATGATATACGGAACGTACCGTTGCAAATGTGTGCCAGAGGCGGCGATCGATACGTCGGCAGGCTTACACCTTCGATAGCCGACAGTACGTAAATTTAAATGCAAAACATTTTATACACAAGAGTGCTATATCCTCTTCATTAACGATAAGTATAGAACTGTTAACATTTATTTTAAGCGTAAAGACATTATTAACGTATATAATTTTTATCGCTTCTATTTTAAAATATATTTATCTAAAACCAGTTTAGATAAAATAATCTTTAATTCAAAAACATAAATTAAACTAATCGCAAGCTTTGGAATTTTGAAATTACAATTTAAATTAGCCCGACTGGAACGGTACAAAAAATAAATTTATATTTTTCAATGTCCTTACTGCATATAGAAATCCTAAATGACCTTTAGCTGTAAAGCAACAAGCTAAAAATCCAGCAATGACCGTGATAGTCCCTGTAGCAATTAACATGTAAAATACGGCACTTGAATGGACTGTACTTAATTCTAGTATGGTACTCATTCGGAAGTATATCCATAATCCTGTGAATAATACTGCAAATCCGGAAAGCTATAAAAAATTGCTGTTTTGTAAATTATGCTAACTGCACTGAAGACAAATGCTATACGATAATAATTTCATTATTAAAAGATAAACTATTGAAGTGTATTTATTTATTGAAGAGTAATCTTAGGTTAAATGTCTAGATGATGGCCCCCATCCCCGACGCGGGTGGGGGTATGTGGGATCGAAAGAGGAGATTTACCCCACCACTGTACCATAAAAAATTCGTGGCGGTCTCACCCCCATAAAAAGTTATGGGGGTTGAAAGTTGATTATTTTGACAATTTTCATACACTATAATTCNAAACACTGCAATAACAAAACTTTACGAAAAATAAAAATATACACAATTATGCTAATGAGACGAAAACAAACGAACAATTACCAAAACGTTGCAGAATTCTTTACAATTTATAATTCTACGTTGATAACCTTACGCGAACGATTAAAAAAATCGTCAACCCGACCACTGCACACAAGTCTGACGACCGACCGATCAAAACACATAAGCATGCGCTTGTACAAACTGCGAGGATGAAATATTTTTGTTCGTCTTTCTCTGTTCTATACAACGATGGTTTTTGTTGTATAGGGTCACGTTATCATGTTATCAGGTAAATGTTAAATACACAACCTGTTATGAGAAAAACAATGGGAAATTTCTATTTACATATTTTCATTACAATCGCTTATTGAAGTTCGACATCGTATTCCAGAAATTATTAATGAGAAATGACGATTACGTCAGCGACATAGTCCGTACGAACTAAGGGATAAAAGTATATCTTATACATAAGCTACACCCTAGAATTATAAATTAAGTACACACATAGTTTTAAGCAAATGTGTCTGTTATAAAACAAAGGGTAAATGTCCCCGTCGGGGGTGGGTGTGGGTGGGATCGAAAGAGGTCTCCCCCACCACTGTACCATAAAAAGTTCGTGGCGGTCACATCCCCATAAAAAGTTATGGGGGTTAGCTGATGGATTTTAAACCCTCAACTGCTCGCAATAAAATAATTCCTCGATAGATATTATACATATGTTTTTAATTAACTGCTGTGAGTTATTACTAATTAATATTCAATTGTAGAATCTATTTAGTAAATTATCCAATTAAGGGATTTCTAAAGTTCATCGTACGGACCTGACTGATTTATGCTTTATGGGTAATAATCGCAAAAGCTTTGTTATAATTTTATAAATATGTAATAACATGAGACTTCTATTCTCGGCGCATTTACTGTAAATTTTCATCTATCATTAATTGGAGCGCGGCGTTGTACGGGTGCAAAACATGGACAGTGGGAGCGGCGGAAAAGAAGAGGTTGGAAGCGTTCGAAATGTGGTGTTATAGGCGGATGATGAGGATATCGTGGGTAGAAAAGGTTAGAAATGAAGAGGTATTAGAAAGAATAGGAGAACAGAGGACTCTATGGAAGTCAATAAAAAATAGGCGAGATAGGTTGGTAGGACACCTTCTCAGGCATGAAGGTCTAGTCAGAGACATATTAGAGGCAGAAACAG